GAGGAGGGGAGGAGAGAAGGAGAGGGAGGGGAAGGGAGGGGAGGAAAGAGGGGGTTGTGGGAGGAGAGGAGGAGGGGAGGAGAGAAGGAGAGGGAGGGGAAGGGAGGGGAGGAAAGAGGGGGTTGTATGTAAAATAGCAAATTGCTGGATCCCACCTTCAGAGTTTTTTTTTTTAAACCACAATAAATAAATAAAACCAAATAGTGCTGTGAGTGTAGTAGCTCAGTGGTAGAACGCTTATCTAGCATGTATGAGGCCCTAGTTTCCACACCCAGCTCCGCAAAAACTGTCCCAAACCAAAACCCAACAGTCTGGGAGATAAAGACCCTGCACTTTAATCCAGCTCCCATTCGACGCTGACGGTGTTGGTCCGAAACACTCCCCTACTCCCCGCTTTAAGAACAACGGTCTGCAGTGCGGAGAGGGGATCTCTCTCTCCCAGAGAGATGTTCCATCATCGATGACCCATCTGTGAAGGTTGAGCTGACGAGAACACAGGGGATGCTGCAGGAAAGAAACTACCCTCATCGAGAACCGAGGCTCCTGGACTACATCTCCCAGGAAGCCTCGCGCTGGCAGGCGGGCGCCCCCTGGAGGTGGCCACCGGGAAGGCGCCGGCGGGATCGTTGGGACCTTCCCGGTAGCATCCGTGAGCGCAGAAAGCCGCGGCAGCTGCGGGCTGCGGCGGCGGCGCGGGAGTCCGGCGCGAGTGAACCACGGCGGGTGAGTCTGGGTTTGGGCCGCCCGCTCCTCTGTTCCTGAGCTGCCTTGTCTCAGGTCTGGCGGGCAAGACGCGGGTGCAGGAGTCCTGGCACCGGGACACGGGGTGCCCCCCTGGGAAGACGCGCTGCGGTCCTGGGTACCCAGGCGGCTCGCAGCGCAGGGATCGCGCTGCAGGTGGGGACCGCAGGTGGCCGGCCCTCCCTTCGGTTTTGGCGCAGCATCCTAGCACTGGAGCCAGGTGGCTCGGGCGGCTGTGCCCCTGGGGAGCCCCCGCCCCCGGGACAGGTGCGTGCGCGCCGGCCGGACTCCGGTGGCCCTCAGTGTGCATCCACTGCGCCCTGGTCCGGTCCAGGTGATCGCCTAGGGCTTGGGCTGCGGGTCTCCAGGACGCCTGGGAGTGAGAGGAATTGTGTGAATGCTAGTGCGTGTCCCAGCAATATGCAGCCTGGCGCGAGTGCAACAGTGCCGGTCTCTTTTTCTTAACGCCCTTAGAACAAAATTAGTTTTATGTGCTTATTTTTTTTTTTAAACAAGTTTGACTCTGAATATCTTAGTTTGATTTTGTGGGAGCTCCATACGCCAGCACGCAAGTTTATATAATAAGCAGTATACGCTTTGAGAAAAAAAAAATCCCATGAAGGTGCTCTTCCTTGCCCTCTATCGGATGAATTATGTCGGACTGGTTGACATGGGTATCCATTAGTAACTGCGGTGGCTGGAAGCGAGAGATAAAGTGTTTTTGAGTGAAGTCACGACCGAGCCCTTCTGATCAATTTTTGGTGTCGTAAGATTTGGTTATCCAGTTTCAAACACTGTTCTTTCAACGTTTAAGACGGAGATAGAAGGTGGGGGCTTGTCCACCCTAATTCCCTAGTCTAAGGGAAATGGCTTTGCGTGATTAACTCAAAGCCATCAAGTTTCTTTATTGGTTATTTTGAGACAGGGTCTCGCTAACTATCTCTGAGTGGCCTGGGACTCACATGAGCCACCGCACCGCGCTTATTTTATTTTTGTTTTCGAGATAGTGTATCCCTAGGCAGTTCTGGCTGGCCTGGAATTGCTATGTGGCCCAGTCTGGGCTTGAACGTCCCCCCACCCTCCACTTCCTGAGCACTGGGATTCCGGGAGTGAGCCACCACACTTGGTCAAAGAGAGCATTTTTATGTGGCGACGGGGCGGCCCCTCTCAAGCCTGCATCAGTTTTAATGCTAGTTCTTAAGCTGATCTGCCGATGTGCCAGGTAGAAAACTATTGTTTGTTAAGAAGCCCCATGGGACGTTTTTTGCCTTGCTTGGTTTTAGGGAAGTGTTTCCTCCGTGTTTTCTGAAAGTGTACTCTATTATGTTAAGTGTATTTCTGTTCATACCTGATTGGGTGCCCCTCCATGCTTTTGTACCGCGTGTATTGATATGGCCATGTAGATTTCCTTCCTTAAAAACATCGCTAACACATTATTATTTTGCTGGATCTTCTCACTAGAATCCTGTAATACTTTAAAATGAATTTTTTGGAGCTAAGTATGGTGGCTCATGCCTGTAATTCTAGCACTCCAGGCTGAGTCAAGAGGACGAGTTTGAGGCCAGCCTATGCTACATGGCAAGACCCTGTCTCAAAAAAAAAAAAAAAAAAAAAGAAAAGAAAAGAAAAACCAAAACAAAAACCAATAATAATAACAACAAAACAAAAAAAATTGAAGACAAACAGAAACACCGGACACCCGCCCCCGCCCCTTAACAACAAAACACCATGAATATTTGGTTTGTTTGATAGATCCCAAAGCTAACATTTTCCTTAAGGGTTGGTAAGTGGCATTGCTGTGGACGATTCTTCCTGTCCTGTTATTATGCTTGTGCTGTTCACACTGAACCGGCTGGGAACTTTCTATCATTTTCTGTGCTTTGGAACAGAAGAATGATCTGTTCCTTAAAGTCTGGCAGAATTTGCCTGCAGGCCTCCTGGGCTGCCACTGGGTGCTTTAGGAAGTTGATACCATCATCCAGTTACCTTTTCTCTCGTGCCCATAAGCATTGATGGTTCACAGCTGGCCTATTGCGGCAGTCATTTTAATACCCTTCATTGTCTCGGGAAATTATTAGCATTATTGATAATATATGTTTGCATCTGGCACCTATTCACTTTCAGCAGATAAACTCATGTAAATATGATATTTTTTCTAATTAATACGAATGCTTTGTGGCTTCTCTTGTTCTTCTTGTTAGTATGTGTTAATTGTACAGAACAATGGCTTTCCTACGTTTTCACAAATGTGTATGATGTACATGGATCACGCCCACCTTTCCTCCTTTTTATTGGTCAGGTTTGTGATTGCTTCCTTTCTCGATCCTTTCAAAGCATTGGGTTTTGGATTTATTGGTTGATGCTGCTGATTTTTATCTTCCTATGTTACTAATTTCTGTTACTAAACTTTATGCTTCTTTCTACTTACTTGAATTTACTGTGTTCAAGCTCTGATCCTTTTGGACTGAAAGCATCATTTGGCTCTTGTGCTGAGCATGTCCAGGATGTCCTGTTTCAGCTGTGGCCTGAGCTGTATTTTCACCTTAACCCTTGGGTTAGACATGCTGCTGCTCTGGTCTTGTAAGTCAGTGTTCATCGCATTTAGCAAGGCTTACACTAACTATCTACCTGTCTGTCATTCCCCACATTCTTCACCCTGTTTTCCTTCTCCTTCAAGTACACTTTTAAAATCTCATCCAGTCATGATAAACTGTGTTGATAATATCTGAGAACACCTTTATTTTGTCTTCATTCTTGGATTTGGGTTTCCCCATGTTTCTTTATTTAAACTAATTTCGAGTGTGTGTGGTGGTATTGTGTTCCCCAAAATATTGTACACCCTAATAAACTTATCTGGGGTCAGAGACAGAACAGCCACAATATTAAACATAGAAGTTAGGCAGTGGTAGCACATGCCTTTAATCCTAGCATTCCAGAGGCAGAAATCCATGTGTTCAAGGATACAGCCAAGCATGGTGACTCACTCCTTTAATCCCAGAAAGGGAGCCTTTAATCCCAGGGAGTGGTGGTAGAAAGCAGAAAGGTATATAAGGCGTGAGGACCAGAAACTAGAAGCATTTGGCTGGTTAAGCTTTTAGGTTTTGAGCAGCAGTTCAGCTGAGAGCCATTGGGATGAAGACACAGAAGTTTCCAGTCTGAGGAAACAAGATCAGCTGAGAAGTTGGCCAGGTGAGGTTAGCTGTGACTTGTTCTGTCTCTCTGATCTTCCAGTGTTTACCCCAATACTTGGCTCTGGGTTTGATTTTATTAATAAGAACCTTTAAGATTCCTGCTACGTGTGTGTGTGTGTGTGTGTGTGTGTGTGTGTGTGTGTGTGTGTGTGTGTGTTACCATTTTTGAAAGATTTTTGTAGCTGGGAGATTTGGGGATCTCTGGCCTCCCGTATTACTGAAAAAGAAAGGAGAGGCAAAAAGATGGCATTTTGTAGTTTGTGACCTTTAACATAGTGGGTACTGTTTTTTAGGCACCTGCTCTGCCAGTGTTAACGTTGTGGCCCCACCAATCTCTAGAGCCCACCCATCTTGGAAACGGAAACTGAAAGCTTATTATCTCTTCCTTAGCCTCGGAACTGTTACTCTTTCTGTCTCTGTGACTGGGTTTAGGTACTTCATGTGGTTTTTCATATGATACCTGGGTTTTAGGGACAGGATTATTTTATTTTAGCTTGATTTCCCAAAGACTCCATGTTGTACCATGTGCCTGTCACTGCTTCCTTCCTTTTCAAGGCTAAGTAATATTCCATCCTCTGTGTGTGCCCCACAGCATTTATCTGTTCATCTCTTCTTTCGTCAGTGGACACTTGTCGCTTTCACATTTTAGCTGCTGTAAATGACCATTGGTGCACAGGTCTCTCTTCAGTGATCTGTTTTCAGTTCCTTCGGGAAATGAATACAAATAGAAGTTGGCATTACTAGCTTATACACTAATTTGTTGGGTTTTTTTTTTTTTTTAAGTTTTTGGGACTTCACCACACTGTTTTCCATAAAGTCTGTTCCTTTTACATTCCCATTAACCACATGCTCATCCCTCTCTCTTGATATAGCCATCTTGACAGATGCATATTTTTGCCTTTCAATAGGCAGCTTTTGTCATATATATGTAGTGTGTACATATTTGTTTTTATCTTATATATTTATTTCTTTTGTGTGTCTACGTGTGTGTGTGTGTGTGTGTGTGTGTGTGTGTGTGTGTGTGTGTGAGAATGTGGACGTTCATGTGGAGGTCAGAGGACACCTAGTCAGAGCAGTTACTGCCCTGTCACATGTGTCCTAGGACGGTAACTCCGGCCAGCAGGTTTAGCGCCTTTACTCACTGAACCATCTGGTCGGCCTCTGATGTAACCCGCCAATGTTTAGAGACTATTGATATTTTGGGCTTACTTCTACTATCTTACTTTTTTCTGTTGTTTATTCTTATTTATTGCTAGTCTCCACCCCTTTTTCTCCTCGCCTACTTTTTGTTTGATTGAAGTTTTGTTGTTTTGTTTTTGTTTTATCTTGAGGCAGTGCCTTACGATGTCGTGGAACTCACAGAGATCCCTAAGTACTGGGATTAAGTACATGCACCACCACAGCTGGCTGGATTGAGTTTTCATTGAGTCATTTTTATCTGACTCAAGACTTGAAAGTTAAATATATTTTTCTACTCTATATATGGTTAAGTACCCGTGTATTTTTGTGGCAACTGCTCATTGAGATGCAAGCATAAAGGTATGCAAACTACCAATGTGTAGTTCAATGAATTTCAATAACCAGAACCAGCCCTCAAAATAAGAAACGACTTTTCCTGTGCTCCTGAGTCCTTCCTCACTCCATCAGCGTTTGGGGGTAAAGGAGGCAGAGCTTCCCACTGCACCTCAGCAGCCTGAGGCGTTCTTGAGTTTTTTTTTTTTTTTTTTTTTTGTTTTTCGAGACAGGGTTTCTCTGTGTAGCTTTGCGCCTTTCCTGGAACTCACTTGGTAG